AAACCTAAGCTTATGAGTAATTGGTACACGCTGTTTCTTCCTTTTCCTCTCCAGCTGGCATCATGGAAGTTCCCTCCAATCTCTTTTCTTCATTTTTTTTCCACTATCAACACTATAGGACCACTCTGTTATATATGAATTATTTATTCATTGGGAGTTCAGTTTTTTGCAGAATAACTTAAATTGAACCCTTCACAAGCCTGATCTGTTCAAACTGAGAATGTACTGTAATGATGAGATACATAAACAGAGGTTACCATTAGTGAAAACTGCTATCCAAAAGTATCAGTAGATCATGACATACAGCCAGCTGAAATTGTATTCAAATCATGACTTTTGTGCTGGTGAGCTTGGCTGACTCCTCTTTATCCATCCCAGTGATCAGAGTGTCTGCTTATCACATAAAAAAAAGTAAAAGTCAAAGAATTGTGTATCTAATCCAAGAGCAAAAATGTAATAAATTGCAGTTTACCATTTCTTAGATGCAGTGGTTGCATTTGTTTTTGTTTTCAGCCTTTTTTTTCTCTTTTTCACCTGTTGCCTGCTAATAACTACTTGTCCTGCTGTGATATGGCTAACTTAAGTAGGGTACACGTGGAGCGAATTTCGGCTGATTCAGCAGGAGTGTAGTGACTAGTACAGGACAAAAAAACACCTCACTAACCCTCTTCTCCATACCATAGTGGTGAAAAAGCTTAGCTTTTAGGCTATAGAAAGCCTAGCTTGTTTCTATAAGCAGAATGCAACTTCTAAAATAATTACTTCATGTACTGTGACTCCCAATATGAGGTGTTTTGAAAACCATAACTATAATATCTTTTTTTTTTAAAGTATTTTTTAAACTATTATTTTAATATTTGGCTAATTAGTATATTTCTTTCTCATTAAAAAGACCACAAAACCTAAGCTTATGAGTAATTGGTACACGCTGTTTCTTCCTTTTCCTCTCCAGCTGGCATCATGGAAGTTCCCTCCAATCTCTTTTCTTCATTTTTTTTCCACTATCAACACTATAGGACCACTCTGTTATATATGAATTATTTATTCATTGGGAGTTCAGTTTTTTGCAGAATAACTTAAATTGAACCCTTCACAAGCCTGATCTGTTCAAACTGAGAATGTACTGTAATGATGAGATACATAAACAGAGGTTACCATTAGTGAAAACTGCTATCCAAAAGTATCAGTAGATCATGACATACAGCCAGCTGAAATTGTATTCAAATCATGACTTTTGTGCTGGTGAGCTTGGCTGACTCCTCTTTATCCATCCCAGTGATCAGAGTGTCTGCTTATCACATAAAAAAAAGTAAAAGTCAAAGAATTGTGTATCTAATCCAAGAGCAAAAATGTAATAAATTGCAGTTTACCATTTCTTAGATGCAGTGGTTGCATTTGTTTTTGTTTTCAGCCTTTTTTTTCTCTTTTTCACCTGTTGCCTGCTAATAACTACTTGTCCTGCTGTGATATGGCTAACTTAAGTAGGGTACACGTGGAGCGAATTTCGGCTGATTCAGCAGGAGTGTAGTGACTAGTACAGGACAAAAAAACACCTCACTAACCCTCTTCTCCATACCATAGTGGAAAGGTGTTCTGTAGTCCAGAGATCACTGGGATCAATGTAACAGATAACTTTATGTGCTCTCTGCCCGGGCTGCACATAGTTTGGTGGCATTTTTGTACATTTTGGATTTCCCATTACTTTTAGTCACTGTGACAATGGTTAACAAGACAAATAGAGGTAATCACCCCAGGGGACACAAACTGCAATAAAAATCCATCAGTGGCTCTAATATTTGCCTACTGTTGAAAGGATGCAACTACCCTCAACTGGTTGGACACTGGCAAATCAATCAAATCTGTAGGGCAGCCCTGTATAACCATTCCCACTCCCAGCATGCCACAGTTTTTTGTTAGTGTTCTTAGGTGATGGACACCACCTCTTTGCTCTGAAAGAGGTACATCCTTTAACATCCGTATTTCCTGCACCAAAGCATTCTAAAGTGATCTCTCAACTGTTTGGGCATGATTCAAGTTGCTCATGTATACAGCTTCTATCCTCAAGCTTGACATCCTATTAGTCATTCCTGAGGGCTACCATATGGGGCAGTCAGGTTCTTGTTCTACTATTGCTAGGTGATTTGGTGATTGATTTATTCAGAGCTTAGTAAAGTTTACAGTAATGTTTTCCCATTTTTCCATTTAGGGATCTCTCTCCTAGGAGAACTGAGTCTTCCAGCATAAGGCTTCAGCTTCCCAAATCTGCAAGGCAGCCACCTTGTCCTCTATATACACTTTCACCAAAATTTACCAGGTGGACGTTCAGGCCTCTGAGGATACTAGCTGTGACTACAAGGTTCTTCAGGCGACACTCTGATTGTGGACCCCGTCTGTTTTTGGTTACCTTTTGGGGTTTGTTGTTTTCTCATGGCCTGTTTCATGGCCATTATTTGCTATGTTGCCCGCCCCTCTGTTGAACTGCTTTTGAACATCCCAGTGGTGAAAGAATTTAACTGCCCTTGTCCTGTGATGTACGATCAAGAAAAAAGGATTTTTGTCTTTACCTGTAAAATCCGTTTCTTGGAGTACATCACAAGACACATCCCTCTGTATTCTGTGATTTAATCTGTACTGCTTTCTATGAAACTAAGGCATGCTGGGAGTGGGAAGGGCTATGCAGGGATGTCCTACAGCTTTTATTTGATTTGCCAGTGCACAGTCACCTGAAGGTAGCTGCAAATCCCAGTTGTCCAAGAATTAACTTCCTGCGATGTACTCTAAGAAACAGATTTTACAGGTCAGACAAATAATCCTGTTTTGTGGTTTGCATACACGTGACAGTACAAATCTCCATAGTTAATACCGACAGGTTTAAGAAAAGCAACAGTTGATTCATATAGATGGCTATCAAAGTTCTCTAGCTCCACACAAGAATCAAGTGATGTGGTATTCTAGATGGACAGAATAGGTTGTATTCTTAAGGCTGGTGAAGGTGCAAGTATGAAAACAAAAAGTTTATCTTATAGTTGTTAAAAAATGTTGTGAGCAAGACTAATGACTTCATCATATGTTGCTGAATGAGATCTAGTGATAGGTGTTAATCATGAAATGCATTGCCTAGTTCTAGGTAAAGCCATTTTTGTTACATGTACCTCAGTTTGCCTCATTATTAATCTTACTTGAGTACACCACCAAGTTTATTATTCAAATAGAAGCTTATTTTATGGTGAATTCATCTGAGGGAATGTCAATGCAGCATTTCTTCATCCAGTGCCTTTTATATATTCCCTCCCTAAAAATGCATTTAAAATGTGTTCAGTCCCGTGACACTGGCGGCTTGATGAAAAAGCTGAGTTTAGGTCTCAGCTGTGCTCTGAGTTCCCCCCTGCTAAAGTAGAGGACAATATTAAATGCACAGAGGAAATATCATGGTACATTATCAAAGAAGAAAAAGAATAAAGAAATAAATTGTATGTTAATATGGATTAGGTGCTGAGAGTATCCTAGGGCTTGCATACAATTTGTTTCAATTTTTGGCATGAAGGACATTTAGGCTTATGTAAAGGCAACCAGGCACTGAAAGTGTGCACAGACATGCAGCACTTCTCTTATTGAATAAAATAGCATTTTTTTTTCCTGATCTGTCAATTTCCATGTTATTGGTACAATATCATACTAAATTTACTCTGGGCAAAACCATTTGGGATTATCTGCCATGTCTGCAGTTCAGAGCAGTGTCAAGAGCTTCTGACTGCCAGCCGTAACTCATGCTGCCATTTCTGAGTGAAAGTGGATTCCACGTTCTTCTGACATTGTGATATGCTCTTTAAAGATATGTGACAAGAGTGCTCTAATCTGCTGTAACCAATAAGAATCCTATCTTTTATTTCACATCCTGCTTCCTGTAAATTTAATATAGGTGGAATCTGACTGTGTTACTGCACTTTGCTCATCATCGAGCATCAGGAGATCTGCTATTAGCAACTTTATAAGAGGGCATAGGGGCTTATTTCACTGTCATTTGTTAGAGATGCTTCTGAGATCATGCAGAATTCATTGATATGTTCATTTCACCTGCAGGTGACATCCTTCTAACCTACATTTCACCTGCTTCTAACAGGTTTTGCATTCCCATAGACTTGTACGAGATTGTAAAACCCATATGACGTGAACAAAATCCCGTCAACACGGTCCCTGTTAGGTTATAAATCCATAGCTTGATCCAGAGGAAAGAGAATCAAAGCCTCAATGAGGCAGCTGCCAATACATATCTATAGTAACTAGGTTTACATATTCAGTGAGATTATATATGTTGTAACTTCAGGAATTGCTGGGGATGCAGTTAAATCTGGTCATTGTGAGACCAGGTGACCAATGGCTGCTGCATTCCTTTTTTTACCAGCTGTATGCTCTCGTGACAGTCTGTCAGGTTCCTTTTAGCCTACCTGGTTATACTTTATCCATGCATTAAAAATCCCCAATTTAAATATTGCCCCATCACCATGTAACTATAAATAATGTGCCTGATAGAAATTAAAGTGCCGGTATGAGAAGACTCACATGGAAGCTGTCATTTTCACACTTCTGAGCCGCATACTATGTCTAGGGCTGTAAAGATCAACCTCTTTAGCTTCTCTGCTAGTGACAACACTGTCTCTAATGTGCAGATGTAACCTCAGATGACAGCTTCCATCAGAAGAGTTTCACACAGTTTTAACTTATGACAGACATTTAAAAAAATCTTAATGCTGAGCAGAGGATTTTGTGTAGCTCTTTTGTGGGCGTTAACCTGCTTTGTAATGTTGATTAACCTTCACCAAGCTTAGATTTCTCCAGCAATTGAGTTTATGATGGGTGTTTAACATTTCTTTTTAATGAAGATGAATGAATGGTGTTTAATTAATGTATGTATGACCACTCTAGTCAAGCAGAGGCTGAGATTCTGTGATTTAATCAGGTCTAACAAGTGAAGATTGATTTTCTGTTCCCTTCTTCCACAGGCTGCTCTATACCGTCTTAGTGGAGACTGGAATCCCTTGCACATTGACCCCAACTTTGCCGCACTGGCAGGTAAGTCAATATCACGGTCTCCATAGACAGAAATTAACACGCTCAGCTTTACTTACTGACAAAGTTGAGATTCTCATTGCTGTAAAATGTTGTGCCACATAATGACCGTTTTTTTTTAGCATTCAACTCAATCCCTGATTGTCCAGCATTCTATCAAAGAAAATTGGCCTTTATGTGCTCAATCCTATACAGCTCTTTTCTCCTGGGATGATTGTTCTGAATATTAGCCCCTTAAAGAGTACTTTTCAGCACTAGATTACCTTCCCTTCATCTTCTTCACAATAGCGAGTAGTTTACTAAATTTGGCCTTAGTAAATACCTTTTTATTTCCTTATATAGTGTTGTGCCCTCTTATTGCCTCATTCCTTGCACCTGCAAGGGTGACACTCTGATTGCCCTGGCAGCCACCTAATATATCCATGTCACAGATCCCAGGAGGTTGCAGTTCACAGGTAGATGAAATTATCCTAATTCTTTGAGTCTTTATAGACGAATACAGTGAGGAAAATAATTATTTGATCCCCTGCAGATTTTGTACGTTTGCCCACTTACAAAGAAATGAAAGGTCTATACATTTTATCATGTGTGTTTTAAATGATAGAGACAGAATATTAACCAAAAATCCAGAAAAAACACATGATACAAATGTTATAAATGTCAGTTGCAGTTCAGTGAGTAAAATAAGTATTTTATGCCCAAGCAAAACATGGTGGAGAACCCTTGTTGGCAAGCACAGAGGTAAGACGTTTCTTGTAGTTGGTTACCAGGTTTGCACACATCTCAGGAGGGATTTTGGTCCACTCTTCTTTACAGATCTTCTCTAAATCCTTACGGTTTCTTGGCTGTCGCTGGCAACGTGAGGTGTCAACTCCCTCCATACATTTTCTATAGGATTAAGGCCTGGAGACTGGCTAGGCCACTCCATGACCTTAATGCTCTTCTTCTTGAGCCACCGCTTTGTTGCCTTGGCGGTATGTTTTGGGTCATTGTCATGCTGAAAGACCCATCCATGACCCATCTTCAGCGTTCTAGCTGAGGGAAGGAGGTACTCATCCAAGATTTTACAATACATGGCCCCGTCCATTGGCCCCTCAATGCGGAAAAGTTGTCCTGTACCTTTAGCAGAGAAACAGCCCCAAAGCATAATGTTTCCACCTCCGTGCTTGACTGTAGGGATGGTGATCTTAGGGTCATAGTCAGCATTTTTCTTCCTCCAAACACGGCGAGTCGAGTTAATGCCAAAGAGCTTGATTTTGTTCTCATCTGACCGCAGCACTTTCTCCCAATCCTTCTATGAATCATTTGGATGTTTATTGGCAAGCTTCAGACGGGCCTGTACATGTGCCTTCTTGAGGAGGGGGACCTTGCGGGCGCTGCAGGATCTAAATCCATGGCTGTGTATTGCGTTACCAATGGTTTGTGCGGTGACTGTGGTCCCATCTGCCTTGTGATCATTCACAAGCTCCTCCTGTGTAGTTCTGGGCTGATCCCTCACTTTTCTCATGATCATCCTTACCCCATGAGGCGAAATCTTGCATGGGCCGAGGACGATTGATGGTTATTTTGTGTTCCTTCCATTTGCGAATTATCGCTCCAACTGTTTTTTCCTTCTCACCAAGCTTCTTACTGATAGTCTTGTAGCCCATACCAGCCTTGTGCAGGTCTACAAGCTTGTCCCTAAAGTCCTTTGACAGCTCTTTGGTCTTGCCCATGGTGGTGAGGTTTGAATGAAAGAGAGATTCTGTGGACAGATGTCTTTTATATACATAACGAAATGTCGTTAGGAGCACATTCTTAAATTGACAGGACTAATCTGTGTACCACATAGCTAGTCTGGGGGAGCCAGAATCATTGTTGGTTGGTAGGGGATCAAATACTTATTTTACTCGCTGAACTGCAACTCAATTTATAACATTTATATCATGTGTTTTTTTTCTGGATTTTTGGTTGATATTTTGTTTCTATCATTTAAAATACACATATGATAAAAATTATATACCTTTCATTTCTTTGTAAGTGGGCAAACTGACAAAATCTGCAGGGGATCAAATCATTATTTTCCTCACTGTATGTTATTTTTGCAAGCGCGAGATTCATATAGTGGAAATTGGTGAGGTAGGCAGAGGTGAGCATTGGGAGAGAGAGAGCACAGGATGTGACCACCAGACTCCTACTGATGTAAGAGCTAAGATATTACAGTGGGAGGAGAGCAGTGTGAGGACTTCAGATGAAATTGGGCAACGCTGGTCTCTGTGGACGTTAGTTTTTGATCAACAGGTGAAAGGTCCTCCTTTTAAGAGAATCTATAAGGTAGTGTGCCCTTTTTCATTTTAAGTAAATTTAGTAATGTTTTTTATTTTTATTTGCTTTAAAAATAAAAGTGTCAAGTATATGTTTAGCCAAAATTGTGTTTCCCTGGGAATGATTAGAAACTGCTATCCAGTGCAGCATTCGAGAGTTCCTCTCAATTTCTGTCCCTCTGACAACAGTTTTACCAGACAGGAAGTGATGGAAAACAACACAGATAAAAATATAATTTTTTTTTTTAGTAGAGTAGGTTGTAAGGGTTGTAATTAGTGATGCACCGAAATTTCTGTGCCCCCTCTAATCCTCGCTGCTCTCCCCCGCCCTCCCTAAAGCCCCTGACGGTAAAGTAAAAAAAATAAATACAAATAAAATATTTAAAACATAATTTTAAAATGGTTGGGGAAAAAAAGTTGATTTTGGCCTGAGAATTGTTATGTCAGTGCATCCCTAGTTCTAATCCATCCATGCATTACCTAGAACAAGAAAACAGTTTTAGCTGTACATATACTTTACCATGGGTGCATCCATAACAATTCATATACATCATGTTTGGGTGCACGCACTACTAGCACTGATTAGCCAGTCAGCAGCATGAGCGAGAGTTGACATCTAAGGTTTCCCTGAAGCTTATTATGAGACTGTGCCCCTTGACACAAATGGTATATCAATATATACTGTACGTTGCCTTATGTTTACATGGACAACAAGTTAAAGGAGAACTATGAGGTGAGTGCTTTTCACTCACCTCATAGTTCTAGCCGACCTGTGACCATGAGACTGTCGCAGGTCGGCTCAGTAGATCGGGAAGTGAGCGAACACATACCGGCGTTCGCTCACTTCTCGATCCCGTCACTGCTCCCTGCCGTGACACGGGAGGGGCTGGATTCCCCCGCTCCGATCCTCCAGCGCTGACTGGCGGAAGGGATGGGGGAGGGGGCGGGTACAGCTGGCTCTGCCTCTAGATAGGCAGAGCCAGCTGTCACTCACGCAGCTGGGCGGATCCAGACATAATTGCTACAGCTCGCGGTATACTGAGCTTAGGGTGACGGGAGGATGCTCGTTTGTGGCCTCCCGTTACCCTAAGGAGAACTATGGGGAAAAGCCCTAACCCCATAGTTCTGCTTTAAAGCTGAACTGCAAAAAAAGAACACAATTTAATCCCCTCATCTATAATCCCTATTTTTCTGTACCGCAGTGCTCAGACTCAGAAAGCACTACCAGCGCTCTTTAACTTTGCACAGTGCTGTCAATCTGATATTGTGAACATATTTACTGGAGGGGAGAATGCTGCTTCGGCATTGGAGCTCAAGGATCTTGAATTGGTGTCTGGATCACACACATAACAGAATTATAAATCTTTTGGCATGGAAGAGGGTTTATTTATATGTTCTTTCACTGTATATTAAGAGGTTTGCCTAGAGATCAGTTTTAGATACAATATATACTTTTAATTTTTATTTAAACTGTACATAAAAATGAAATGTTCCTATCTCCTACAATCTACAATTTATTTTATTGAGAAGACAAATAAGCGCTTACTTTCATTTCTAAATGACGGCCGCAACATGATTGGTTGGCATTTATTAGACAGCCAAACATTATTGCAACATTCAGGTTCTTCCTTTACTGCTTATTACCACATTTTGTGACTGACTGCAGAAATGTTATTACTTAATTTATACTCAGATCTCCTTATCATATTTTCTTGGAGCAATTGTAAATGTATTAAAGTTTAGTCAATAAACTTAGCTAATAGACTCGAACAAAATGCCCCATATTTTAGAGCACATTGGTTTCTCTGTGTGCTCATGAAAATATGATAGGAAATGGCAGAGATTACATTTTTGCTCTTCTGTGGTTCCTCTCCGCAGGTTTTGAAATACCCATCTTGCATGGTTTGTGCACTTTTGGATTTTCTGCCCGACATGTTTTGAAGCATTTTGCGAATAACGATGTGAGCAAGTTCAAAGCAATAAAGGTAGTAGCTGTATTTTTTTATTCATTTTGGGTGGACTTTGTGGCAATTTTACATTTTCATAAACAGAAATTTCCATTGATACTGGTAGATGAAGTGATATGTTTGTTGCCTGTCCGCTTCTGGTAGTTTTTGTGTGGAACTCCCTTCATCAAGAATGTGAATACTGTATTTGTCCAGTGTTTTCCTGTCTAATAAATTATCCTCTGCACTAAAGAAAACTCCAGCCATCTCATCCTCCTCTACCTAGAAGTGTAATGCTTAACTTTAACCTAACATTAAAGACATGTAAACATTAACTCCTGTCCCCCAACACTAAAAACTCTACTGCTTTAATACTTGCCATCCCCTGGCTCTAACCTAACAGTTAACCTTACCCTTAAAGTGTATGTATATTCTTACAATGAGTTTCTCCTATTTGCTCCGTTTTAGTCTGCTAAATATACCCTGAAAGTGTTTTGTTGTATCTGTTCAAAAAGTGCAAAACATACCCATTGATTTTGCCAGGTATCTTGTGAGCTGATAAAATCCTTTGCTCTTTGGATATGCTTAACTGTAGGCTATGGAGATGAAGAAGGGGGGAAAGGGGTTATGAGGAGAGGTCTTTATTTTCATAAAGAAATTAAGTAGGCAGGGCAGAAACCATGTGTTTAGGAATTTAGAGCTGTGTTATCATGTCAAAGAGGAAAGCAGGAGCATACTCTATTTCCAGGACATGGAACAATTTTTCTGTACTTACAGCATGTTTAAAGAGATAAAAAAATGGGGAAATGTGTTCCGATGTACTAGATATGTTTCTGTTCATTTACATATGCTGCCTAACGCACCAAAAAAGGTGCATGTAGCTCTTCTGGCAAAGCAACACAATGTGTGTAAGTGCATTAAGGTGTTACTGCATCACACAAATGCCTCTAATGTATGTTACAGCAACGCAATAGTGTGAATGGGTCCTATAGAGGCTCCTATACATTGCCCAATCAGGAAAAATCGAAAGTCTCTCACTAGTCCACCCCCTGACCCATTTATACTTGCCTTCACCCTTTGCTGCTCCTTTGATGCAGGAATCAAACATTGTGTAAGCCTTAGGGTTGATGATAATGTTAACTTCGTCAGGTGACAGTGTTCAGAGCTGTTGTTTGGCTGCGCCCTAATACCAGGAAGTGCTGAATATTGGCAGCGGTTAGTAAGAGATGCTGTCACTTTTCTTTGATGGACAAGGTGGAGGTATCCCTTTAAGGGCTTGTTCACACACTATCCAGTGTGTTCCTGCACTGTTCCGTACCCTGAATGCACTGGATCTCATAAACCAAGCCCCCTGCGTTTTTTGATATCACACAGCACTGGAATGCAGGGCATTGCTGTACAATGCATTCTGGTGCGGGCAATCACACTGCGGACGGGAGGCATGTCTGCTGTGCCATTGACCTGAATGACAACACCACGCCCCCACCCACCCCAGAACATGGGAGGCTTGGTTTATGTAATCAAGTGCCTTCAGGGCACGAAACTATGCCGGAACGCACTAGATAGAGTGTGAACGGGTCCAAAAGTGGGCCTTCCTTTCTAACACCTAAAGTGAGTCTTTAATACATAAAGCCCCTCTTCGCTTAAACGTAAAACACTTAAACCCCAACCAGGCTCTTAGGGGTCTATTTATAATAGTTTTTGCACAGGATTCACACATCTTTCCAATCAAACCCAGTTAGAAAATGTGTGAATCTTGGGTGGAAAAAAAATTAGAAATCGGCATATAAATGTTACTGACCTAACTCCTAAACTGTGCCCTAGCACTAATTAACGCCTATTATTCTTTATCCTATGTCAGGAGCCAGTCATGCTCCACAAGCTTGCAGCCCTGAGATGCCAGTGGAAGAATGCATTGATCGCAGGAAGGGCAGGGCTTAGCTATGTTGGGCCATTAAAATGTTTATGAATATTTAATTGACAAATTCTCTATGGCAGTCATTTACTTTTTTTTAATGGAGAATTGCAAAGATGTCTAAATGTATGTGGTGGTGTCAAATCTTTCAAATATGCCTGGAAGTTCAAATTGGAATACAGATACTTTGAGATTATATCACTGATTAATTCCCAAGGATATCCATAAATGGGCAAATAATAGCAACTGATGCTTCTGGTTTGAACATTGCCTGTGATAATTGGGCCCTGTTAGGCCCTCAGGATGTGATGATGAGTGCCTGTGGCAGGTCAGTGTGATTGGCATTTGCAGGTGCTAGAAGGTTGAGAGTGAAGAGATGATCATATACAGGTATTAGAGTTGTCATTATAAAACATCTTCTGTACTGTACACTAACCCATACAGCTTACACTTAATACAATCTATATTTATCAGGGAATAAGAGATTGTGCCGGATGCTTTGTCAGGAAGAACATAATGGGACTTTTCTGAGAATTGTTTATAATTGCATGTGTGCATGTTACCACACAGGTCACACACAGGCGCATTGCAAATAATGTAAAAACACTAAAGTCAGAGTCATAAAGATTACTGACTACAGCGGGTTACTCATCGACTGGGACCAGCGTGTAAATATCAAAAAAGTTTATTACACAATTCAAAAATACAAAATACCATCGTTATGCTCTTTTTCATTTTCTCAATAAAATCTTTAGACAACGTTGTCCACAGAAGTCATTCACTCTCACATGCATTCAAAGGGGCCCTACACAACAAGGTCTAAAAGTTATTTTGTAACTGTTGAGGACATTTGATGGGTCTCATGTAGAAAAAGTATCAAAGATGTTGGAAACTGTATTCAAAGTAGCCGGTATAGAGCAGGTCTTTCGTTATAAGAATATTCCTGTAGTCTATGAAAGTTCCAAAGTTCCATACATCTCAAATAGACTTTTCCCACAGTGCATAACTAGAGTTCCACCGCATATGTCACCAATATCTTAATCAGACCAATTGTTTGTCTGACCATATGATCTTTGTTTCAAAGCATTAGCTTAAAATCCTAGATGACAGGCAAATGGTGATTTGTAGAACCACTTCAACGAGACGGAAATCAATAAATAATTCAGTCCCGAAAGGCAGAGTGATAAACTGCAGTAAAATTGAATTCAGTTGCACAGCATGTTCAGTGGGATACACTGGACTCACCTGTAGTGTACAAGAGTGAGTGTTCCCGTATAGCACGGGTTAGTCCTACTCACAGTTAGGGTGTCCCGATCCCTGCTTTAGTAATTGATTTTGAAGTCACGCATTCATGGAATAAGTGCTGTAGCTGTCTCGTGTGGTTCATTGGTACCCGTAGTTAGCACTGTAGCCGTTTCCCAAAAGAATCGTCAGGTTGCTGTGTGTGCGGCCATCCACCTAGCAAATCAGCATGTCACCTGCTGTATACCGGCTACTTTGAATACCCAGTTTCCAAGATATTTGATACTTTTTCTACATGATCCTATCAAATGTCCTCAACAGTTACAAAATAACTTTTAGACCGTGTTGTGTGGGGCCCATCTGAATGTATGCGAGAGTGAATGACTTCTGTGGACAACGTATTGAGGATTATATGTTATGAATGGGGAACATGCCGCAGTGTAGGTAGACGAATCAAGCAATAATATTGTAAAATACACTCTGCAATGTGCTCAACATAGTTGAGAGTGTGCTATCAGTTATGGCATTGGTTGAACTGGTGGATATGATATTGATCTCTGTCGTGTTTTTAAGTCTGCATGTTTTTAATTGACCAAGTTGACTTAGAGTCATTATGTATCCTACAGCCTTTTTCCCTGTCTAATAGAGATTTAGTTTTGACATATGCCATTTTCAATCTGCTTATACACTGGGGATGGTGAGGCAGCAAGCTGTGCAAGAGAGTCCAAACCATATGCTTGGCTATGGACAGAATCATCTTGGGGAATTCCAAAGGGTCCCCAGACCAACTTGAAGCTTTAACCTTCTGGTGTATTCTGTATCTACCCATGTATCTCTAACTTTGGCTATGTGTGGAATGTAGATTATCATAATAAAGATTTGTTTATTGTAATGTTTTGCTGTTTTTACTTTGCTGTTCAATAATCTGTCCTCTTTACTGTTCAAGGTTCGCTTTGCTAAGCCAGTCATCCCTGGACAAACTTTACTAACTGAAATGTGGAAAGAAGACAACAGAATTTACCTTCAGACCAAGGTCAGGAATTATATAAAAAGTATTGTCATAGATTCTATGTGCATTTCAATTGTGAATACATGTCAGTGTTGTAATGAGTATATGTAATATTTCGTGCATAAATTCCTGTTTTCCTTCTCTATATTCAATAATGTTTTGTTTAACACTGTTCACTTCTGACAAATGAAACTCTTCAGTCAAAGGCAGCATTATGAAGTAATTCCATATCACAGAAGGATAATGCTGAAGGCATTTATTGTGATTTTATGCTGTATAGACACATACATATCTATCTTTTATTCTGTAGTGTGGCTGTTGTATTAAATTCACAACAATAGAGCTGCTTCATTTGTATAACAGGAGAGAGAAACATAGTTATAGAATCACTGACCTAGTATAATGAATACACTTCATTTATGCTCTAGTGCTTACTAAGCCAATGGCATAAATGACACCTGTTCTTCTGTATAGCCTTAAAGAGTAACTTAACTTTAGCTGTGCCCAAAAAAGAGGCAGGCAGAAGGCGAAGGACTAGTAACTATTAGTGCCTGAGATCTCTCTGCCGCTGATCCTTTCTCTTATTACTGTGTCTCATACTGAGTCGAGATGGCAATCTTGGTAGAGCTGGGACTTTGCTTCCTCATGTCAGAGCCTCCAGCAAAGAGAACAGCAAGCAGCACATTAGTGAGACTAGCAGTCATAAGCATCAGTGCTTGAGGTGTACACTACAGACATTACCCTATTAGACCATAGGCACATGAGTTCCTAGACACCTCCACATACCAGAAAGATATCTTCGGGAGAAAAAGTAAGATTTTCTGAGTACTGCTTAGGCTCAGTTAACATTTCTAGATGTTCCCTATAACATAGCAAATCTCCGCTTTTTGAGTTCAGGTCCACATTAATGCCTTAAACTGGGGGTGCTTAATGGCCAGACCTGCCGTCTGTGGATCCACCAAAGTAGTTGGGTGGCTGTACTCTCAGAAGCCCCATAATTCTGTCATACTCAGATATGTCATTTTTCCCCCACTTCCACTTTCTTGAAATGTTAAGACTGAAATGCTGGAGAGTATCAGCATAAAAAACTGCTGCTAATTCAGACAAATGTAATCCTCTATAATTGCAAAAATGTCTGAATTAAAAAATATATATATATATATATATATATGTACTTAATT